AGTGCCACCTCAAGGGCGAGTAGTTTTTGTGTGTCAGTTTTGACTGTTTCTGCTTCTAGGACATTCCTCAGCAGAGGGCAGCAATACTAGGACCTCCCTTCTGGATAAACTGTCCTAAAGAAGGGGCTTCCTTTCTGCCTCTCTGTCTTCTCATTGAATCCTCAAACACTATTACAGGTAGATTTGCCTTGGGAAGCTTACTGAAAACACAGAATCTGGAGCCCCAAACACCACCTCACTCAGTATAAAAGCCAGAGTCCTGGTAACTGTCCCCAAGGCCACATGCATCCAGCCTTCTGGTAGTGCCTTGACCTCCCTCATCATTCACCATGTGGCTCCCTGTATTCCAGCTAAACTGCCCTGTCCTCGTGCTCCTTGAATGGATCCTGCATATTCCAGCCTCAGATGAGGGCCTTTGCATTTGCTGTTTTCTCTCCTGGGACACTTGTCCCCAGGGCTCCCTCTCTCCCCGTCTCAGGTCTTTGTTCAGTGTACCCTCTCCGGGAGGTCCTCTAAAGTTCTGCAGCAATTCCAGTGGGTGGAGGTCTCTACCACCAACCCAATTTTTCAGATACCAGCTGGGTGGCCTACAATTCAACTGAATTCTGACCCTACTGTTACCAAACCAGGGGTCTGCAACAAAGAGAGTTTGTTGTGAATAAAGAGTTATTCACAGAGCAGCCAAGTGAGGAGATGGCAGAACAAGTCTCTGATCCGCCTCCCCAAAGGCAAGGGGCTTGGGATATTTATGGGATAAAGAAGCAGGGTGGCCTTAGGCACTGGGATGGGTGGCCGGCCAGAGGTGGGAAAAAGATGAAGTAACTGGTGTTCTGCACAGGATATCCAAGTTACGTGCTTCTTCATGAGATGCCTGCTCAAAGGTGGAGGCATCAGCAGGATCTGAGGGTGGAGTTTCCAGCCCTCTGACGTGAAAGTCACACATCCTGCAGCCTTCACCCTATATTGTCTATAAACAACCCCCCCCCAAAAAATCTTTGGAGGGTTTGGGGTTTCTGAGTACAAGCTACCCGTTCTCTTTGCTTGGCCCTGCAATAAACCTTTCGCTGCTCCAAACTTCCAGGTTTCAGTTTATTTAGCCTCACTGTGCACTGAACACATTAACTTTTTTTTTTTTTTTAGCAAGCTGTTTCCTTTTCTGCTGTAAGATAAGCTCAACAATCTTGTTAGTCACTAGGTTCTGTTAACCAGGTGGGACTGGGTTTCCCTGTCTACAGGGAGATAGCATCAGATTCCACAGGTTAAGGGCTTGGTCCTCCAAGGCTGCCTTCCTTTGCCCCCCCAAAAGCAGGTAAACTTCAGGGGGCAACCCTGAGCCCAGGCTGTGCTAACCTGTGCCTCTGGCCAATTGGCTAAAGAAGATGGGAGTTTTCAACAGAACCCTCTGTGTGTTCGATTAATTTGCTAGAGAGGCTCACAGAACTCAGAAAACATTTTACTTGCTGTTGGACCAAGATATAACTGAGTATGTCACTTGGAAACAGCCAGATGGAAGAGAGGCATAAGGCAAGGTATGGGGAAAAGGCATGTAGCTTCCAAGCTCTCCACCAGGCCACCTCCTCAAATCTTTTTAGGTGTTTATCAACCTGCAAGTTCTCCAAATCTCTTCCTTTTGGGTTTTTACTGGAGGATTCATTACACAGGCCGGAGAAGGCAATGGCAACACACTCCAGTACTTTTGCCTGGAAAATCCCATGGACGGAGGAGCCTGGTGGGCTGCCATCTATGGGGTCGCACAGAATCGGACACGACTGAAGCGACTTAGCAGCAGCAGCAGCATTACACAGGCATGAGTAATTAAGCCACCAGTCATAAGTAACTGATTTAACCTCTAGGCCCTTCCCTCTCCCCAGAAGTCAGGAGGGTGAGACTGAAAGTTCCAACCATCTAATCACAGTTGTTTCTCCTAGCAACCAATCCCCATCCTTAGGTGTGGTCCTCATTAACATAACAAAAGATACCTCTCATTTCTTAGGAAATTCCAAGGATTTTAGGAGCTCTATGCTTCCCTGATGGTTCAATCCCTGGGTCAGGAAAATCCCCTGGAGAAGGAAATGACAACCCGTTCCAGTATTCTTGCCTGGGAAATTCCATGACCAAGGAGCCTGGTGGACTACAGTCCATGAGGTCACAAGAGTTGGACACAACTTAGTGACTAAACTAGGCTGAACAGTTAGAACTGGACACAGAACCACTGGTACAAAATTGGGAAGAGTACGTCAAAGCTATATATTGTCACCCTGTATATTTGATGCTTCTTAATTGTGGGGCTGAAGAAAACTCTTGAGAGACCCTCGGACAGCAAGGAGATCAAACTAGTCATTTCTAAAGGAAATCAACCCTGAATATTCATTGCAGGGACTGATTCGGAAGCTGAAGCTCCAATACTTTAGTTACCTGACGTGAAGAGCAGACTCACTGGGAAAGACCCTGATGCTGGCAAGGATAGAAGGAAAAAGGAGAAGGGGGCAACAGAGGATGGGATGATTTGACAGCACCACTGACTCAATGAACATGAATCTGAGCAAACTCCGGGAGATAATGAAGGACAGAGCAGCCTGTCATGCCACAGTCCATGCAGTCCCAGAGTCAGACACGACTTAGCAACTAAAGAAACAAACTCTGACGAGGATAAAGAGAGAATACCAAGTGCTCCATATCAGGTGCTTGGTGTATGTCATCTCAGTTCCTAGTTTCAAAGGTATCCTGAAACATGTTATGAGGAAACTGAAACCCAAAGAGAAGCATTCTCCAAGAGTTCAAGTTCAAACCCAGCTCTGCCTCACTCCAAACCCCATGATCACTTGGGTCTCCCTTACATTTGATATCTAGAGAGGAAGTCAGTTATACTCTTGAGCCACAAAGGCAACTAGAAGTTTGGAGGCGTGAATGTCATGCTCCCAAGGGGGCCGGGGTGGGGGGGGGGGGGCGGGGGTGCGGTTCTCCTGCTGAGGTCTCCATCACTTAGAAGCCCAGCCATTTGAACCCGTTCCTGGGAGGAAGCTATTACCTAGACTTTGGGATAAGACTCAGGGAGAGGCCATGGAACAGCTTAAGATTTCATTCTCCCAAGAGGGGAGAAATCTGAGACTTTAGTCTACATCTGAAGCCAAAAAGAGATGCTGATGCTGTTCCCTTCCTCTCTTTCAGGCTTCGTGCCAAACTGCTCACATGCACCATGTCTTATGTGAAAAATGTCACTGTCATCATCCCCATTTTACAGTCTCACACACTTGCAACCAAGCAGGATGCCATGGGGCCTTCTCAGAACAGACCTCCCTCCCCATGTCCTCTACCTGCCTCTTGTCTGTAGTAAAACTTTAGCCTTGTATGTCTTCCCCAATTTCCAAAGAGTAAATTTAATCAGAGAAGTGAGAAAAAGCAGAAAGGGTAATAGTCAAACAAGACAAACTTGCTTAGCCATTAAACAAAGCCAAGGACCTTTAGTTCCTCCTCGTGGCTATAGTTAATATTCTGAGCCATATCCTTTGAGCTGTTTCGCAGATACCAAAACCCACACCAGGTTGAGGCAAATGGAACCCAGACTGATTGGAACCAGAAGGCTGATGATGCTGACTCCTGGTTACCTCACCACTAACCAATTAGAAGAATATCCAGAACTGATCACACAGCCCACAACCCCATCCCTCACCCTGTCTTTAAAACCCATTCCCTGGGAATTTCCTGGTGGTCCAGCGGTTAGGACTTGGGTGCTTTCACTGCCAAGGGCCCAAGATGTTCTGTCCCTGGTCGGTTGGGGAACTAAGATGCTGCAAGCTGTGTGTCAAGGCCAAAAATTAAAAGAACAGCATAGTGTTGTCGGTATAACAAAAACCGGTTAGAACCAATTAGCCCCAAGAGGGAGGAATTCAACGTCCAGTAGCCTTTGAGCCCCATGATACACTCACCGTAAATACATTAGCACATGCAAATGACACCCCACTGGCACCATGACAGTTCTGTGCTCAGTCGCTTCGGTTGTGTCTCTCCATCTGTGACCCCATGGACTGCAGCCCACTAGGCTCCTCTGTCCATGGGATTCTCCAGGAAAGAATACTGCAGTGGGTTGCCATGTCCTCCTCCAGGGTATCTTCCCGACACAGGGATGGAACCTGCGTTTCCTGTATTGCAGGCAGATTCTTTACCACTAGCGCCACCTGGGAAGCCCCATGACAGTTTTAAGGGAGACCACAAGAGGGCAAAAAGTGGGCGATGGCCTAATCCCCAACCCCTTCCCCCAAATAGTTGGAATATCCTCCTACTCCTTAGCCTAAGAAATTACCCATCCCCCCAAAATTAACCACCCCATATTTCAGGGCTGCTCTCCCCTTGAGAGGGAACGCATTCTGCTTATAGAGTGTGCATCTCTGGAAATAACTATTTAACACTTTGTCTCTCAATGAATTGTTTCTGTGAAGAGACATAAGGAACTTTAGCTTCATTAAGTCCTGAGACCAGGTGAGTTTAAAAGACAGTGGGTTAAAATCCCAGTCCACAGGTTCCAGTCCCATCTGAACTGTGCTGTTTCAGCTGGGGAACATTCTGAGACTCCGAGCAATTGTCAGGCACGCTAAACGTGTGCCTCACTCAGTTGCTCAGTGTGTCCGACTCTTTGCGACCCGTGGGCTGTGGCCGACCAGGCTCCTCTGTCCATGAGATTCTGCAGGCAAGAATACTGGAGTGGGTTGCTGTGCCCTCCTCCCGGGGATCTTCCTGACCCAGGGATCAAACCTGGGTCTCCTACATTGCAGGTGAATTCTTAACCGCTGAACCACCAGGGAAGCCCAAGCAATTGTCACTTACTCACAAACGACTATTATTTCTTTTAGACATTATGATTAACTACATTTTTACATTCATTTTGGCTGGGAACACCTCTGTGCAGGAGACAGCAGGACTGATACTCAATTGTCTAACCAAGGGATTACGCACACAGAGCCTCCACACCTGAAGACACACCGAGGAGGCGGAGTAGTCATAAAATGAAGAATTACAGAGAAGTGACTAACTCCCCCATGGCGGCAGAGAACCGAGATGAAAACGCACGTCCGTCTTTAGATTCACTTGTAAATGCCCTGGGTAGTGGTCAAGGCCTGGGTAACCCAGCTTGAGTAAAGGAGACTTCCAGATCTCCTAGTACAGCTCTTGGGGTGACTTCGCCCTTCCCGCCCACTCGGCCATGCGCAGGACCAGTCTCCGTAGTAGCGGACATCCGCATGCGTAGACAGAAGGTGCAGGGCGGCCTCGGGGGACAGCTTCCGCGTCCGAGCGCTCAGCAGCCGGCAGCCACAGAGCCCAACCAAGCAGCGAACAGCAGCATGTTGAGGGGTCGCAGCAGCGGAAGCCGCTCGCCACCTGCTCCAATCGGAAGGCTTAGAGAGCGATCGGCGGCGGCGAAGTCCCGGCGTCCCACAAACCTGCACGGCACTCCCAGTATGGCGGAGGTACCGCGATACCTCCAACTACTTCCGGGGAATTCCTCACGCAGCCAGGGCAAGCCGGAAACAGAAGGGCGTCTAGTACCGCAGCCGGCCGGAGGCGGAAGTCGCTACGCAGGGCGCCGCCATGACTGATTGGGCCTAATGGGAAGGGACCTTCCTGTCTACTTTGCGACCGACCGAATCTAAAAGTCAAGGAGACTGAGCTGGGCGCCGCCATGACAACTTGATACAGGAAAAGGCGGGACTATTCTCCCTCACTGATCCTCCTCCAGCCTCAGGATGTGAGTAGCTGGAGCGCCTACTCCGTACCTACCCCCGTACTCCTCTTCTTTACCAGGAAGGACTGACTTCCCTGTTCCCTGAAGATTCGAGCCTCAGGGTTCAGCTCAGTCCTTCACAGGCCCTAGTTCTCTGCGTGATCATAGAGCCCTCTGAGCGTTTAAATTCCACTCCTCTTTCGGGTCCAGTCTCTTAACACCCAAACTTTGCCTCTGAAACCCCAGGTATGGTCACTCACCTTGTAACCCTACCACTCCGGACTGTCTCAGGAGCTCTAGGACTTTTAATAAACCTGTCCTTAGAGCTCCATATTCCTCCCCCTGCATTATCTGACCGTACCTGTTGAACCTTTGGAATCTGTCCAGTACTTCAGACTTCACCTATAAGGCCCACAGACTTGTTTCTAAATACCTCTGATCTCACTCTGCATTTCCAGACCGTGTTCCTGAAAATGGGAAAAGCTCAATTGTAGAACCCTCCAGATTTACCCCAGAGCCTCGGCGTCAGCCATGGGCTCCAGGTCATGCCCCTAGGACCCTGAGACCTCTCCCAGGACCGCAAAATCCGCCCCAGGGCTTCAAGTCTCACTTTCAGTACCCCTGTCTTCAGGCCTCATCTCTAAGACCCTCTGGTCAAGAGACCCTTCCCCAGGACCCAAGAAGTCACCCCCTTGGACCTCTAAACCTCACTTTTAGGGCCTTCAAACTCATTTAGTGCTCCCAGGTTCTCTCAGAGAACTCTAGGTGTTAGTCCTAAGGCCCTAAGACTTCTCTGCATGATTCCCAGGCCTAAACTGGGGGTTGCTGGGACTCCCAAGACCCTTCTTCCAGGACCCTTAAAATCTGCCTTAGATAATCCAACTTTTTTTTTCCAGGGCCTTCACTATTTCCCCAGAAGCTTCCAGCCTGCTCCACAATCCCCAAGGCTCATGCTTAATTCTCTACTTCTTGGCCCTTTTCCAGGAATCTTCAAACTTTCAAATTTACCCAAGACCCCAGTCCCACTCCTGACTCTGATCAGAACTACCTCCCTTTTAAAAAAACTGTTTATTGTTTATTAACTTAGGAAAGGTCACAAACAAGCAGAACCATCTTTTTGATGTGACAGTAAGAATATGTAGTGTCATTTCTTTTCAGAAATTCTTTAAGAACAGAATTTTAAATTTTAGTTTAGGTTTAGAAATGATCTTGCTTTTTCTTTCCTAATGGTAATAGCTAAAAGCAGTGTACAAATATGGATACTTGAACAGTAAACTATAGGCAGTTTTTTTAGTTATTCTGTTGTGTCTTAATGTTTTCATTGGATGCATTGGTACAAGAGACATTAATAGCTTGTCTTCTACAGTATCTAAAATGGGATGGTACACACATACACTTTCATTTATTCAACAAATGATTTTTGAACACTCACTATGTACTGAACACTGGGGGTACAGCCCCCAGTGTTTTTTCCAGTGGGTACAGCCGTGAACAGAATGGGCCAAGTGCCTGCCCCTGAGTACTCCCTTTCTTGCCTTCTGCCTGGAATTTTCCTAGTGTATTATATCCCACAGGCAGGCAGCCCTGGAGATCACTGCTCGCTACTGCGGCCGGGAGCTGGAGCAGTATGGCCAGTGTGTGGCAGCCAAGCCGGAGTCATGGCAGCGAGACTGTCACCACCTTAAGATGAGCATTGCCCAGTGCACATCCGCCCAGTGAGTGTGGGCAAGTACGGGACAATGGGGGTGGGCAGTGGCGTGGAAGTCTCCCTGGCTTGAAATGCCCTGCATCCCGCAGCCCAATCATCCGTCAGATCCGCCAGGCCTGTTTGGAGCCTTTCAAGGCCTTTGAGGAATGTCTTCGACAGAATGAAGCCGCCGTGGGCAACTGTGCGGAGCACGTGCGCCGATTCCTGCAGTGTGCAGAGCAGGTGCAGCCGACACACAGACCCTCCACCTTGGAGGTAAGCTGGGGCTCAAAGGTTCATCCCACCCTGTCATTCTTCTGGTTGCTCAGAGTAAAGACCAGGGAGTCATCCTCAGCCCCACACAGAGCTTCACCATGCATCCTGACCCCAGGACATCAGAACACAGTCCTCTCTCACCCCTTCCATAGCCCCTGCTTTAGTCCAGCCACCTCCACCACCAGGAGACCTGCCCCAGCCTTCTCCCTGGTCTCCCTGAATCCCCTCTTACCTTTCTAAAGATTTTCTTTCTTTTTTTTAAGGTTTTGGCTGTGGTGGTTGCTTCTCTTGTTGCCTTGTTGCAGAGCACAGGCTCTAGATGTTCGGGCTTCAGTAGTTGCAGCACATGGGCTCAGTAGTTGTGGCTCCCAGGCTCTAGAGCACAAGCTCAGTAGTTGTGGCCCACAGGCTTTGTTGCTCCACAGCATGTGGGATCTTCCTGGATCAGGGATCGAACTGGTGTTGCTTGCATTGCAAGGGGGTTTCTCAACCACTGAACCACAGGGAAGCCCCCCTCTTACCTTGTCTCCATGTAGTGGCCAGAGAGAACATTTAGGAACTGAAAACTAATCACATTACATCTTTGTCTGAAGTTCTTCAGCAGCTTCCCATCCACATTGAGAACAGAATCCCAGCTTTCTGCTGGTTTTCTGTGTTCTTTTCCAGGCTGACCCCATCTGCCTCCTCCATTACCCATGCCCCCTCTCTCTCCTCCTCACTGCCTCTCAGCTCTGCAGGGATGGAGCAAAAAAATAATAACTGGTTTTAATGTATACAGTACATAGGTAGATGCACAATATATCTATGGTATTAAAATGTCATGGATGGGTGCTTTTTTTTTTTTGAATGTTCAAAAAAGATTCCTTGGGTGAGGGGGGAGCAGTAATCTTAAAAGAAAAGTTGAGAAATGGTGGTTTAGCTGTTTACTGTCTCCTCCACTGGACTGCAAGCTCTGAAGGTAAAAGTCAGATCTTTCACCAGTTCCCTCTCAATCCCCCTTCATTTGTCCCCCTCTCTCAGTTCTTGGGGCACCATCTTCTCGAACCCAGAAGAGAAGCCTTCTCTTGGGCTTCCATGCTCTGTCTTAGCTCTTTCAATCCATTCTCTGTGATGGTCCCAGGGTGATTCCAGAGGAAATCTGATAATGTACCACTTTACTAAGAAATCTTCTCATGGAGGAGTGGGAAGGAGGCTCAAGAAGGAGGGCATATAGGTGTATATATAGCTGATTCACTTTGTTGTATAGCAGAAACTAACACAACATTGTAAAGCAATTATACTTCAATAATAAAATGAAAAAAAGAAACTTTTTAATGGCTCTTATGTTGACCAGGTCTAGTCTACCCCTCGTCCCCCATTCTGGCGCAGCCTCCAGGGCCCTGCAGAATGTGGCCTCTGACCATCCCTCTCCCCACATTCCCCTCAAGCCCTGTGTTCCCACCCCAGTGAACCTGCAGTTATTCAAATGCCCATTAAACTCACCTGTTTCCAGGCTTCTATCTCACTGTTTCTGCCTGGACTGCCCTTTCCTACTCCATCTGACTTATTCCATTTCCAGCTTAGATGTTCCCTCCCTCAGGAAACCTCCCCTTGTGGCCTATCTCTATCCTCCCAGGATCCCTGAGCTCCTTCCACGATGGCTTATATTTTACCCCTTGTAACTGCTTCCCTCCTATTGCCAGTTTCAGAGGAGTTCTTTGCTAAAGACTGGGGAGCTGCCCTTCTACCAGATCCTGTAGTCAGTGGGTTTTTTTCATAAGGCAGAGATGAGTTCAAATCCTAATTGAGTCATCTGTGAGACAGACTTCTTTCCAAAAAATATTCAGTAAGGACTGCATACTATTTATATTAGTTTATTAATCATATGTTGGTGATGTTTCTTTCAAGTTAATGGGCATCTGACCAAAGACCTCATCTTCCCATCTCAGGGCCAGTTCCTCCCTCCCTTCCTCCCTGAGTGAGCAACCAAGCCTCTCCCTCATCTTCCTGTGGTCACCCCTGCCCTGCTCCTCAAGTCTGCTCTCCCCTTGAAGCCAAACAAGCTTTTTATTTATTTGTTTTTTAATTATCATTGATATATAATTGGCTTACAGTGTTGTGTTAGTTTCTGCTGTACAGCAAAGTGAATCTGTTACACATAAACATATATCCACGCTTTTTTAGGTTCTTTTCTCATATAGGTCATAGAGTATTGAGCAGAGTTCTTTGTGCTATGCAGTAGCTTATCTGTTTCATTCATATATATATATGTATATGGGCTTCCCTGGTGGCTCAGACAGTAAAGAATCTGCCTGCAATGCAGGAGACACAGACAGAGGTTCAATCCCTGGTCGAAAAGATCCCCTGGAGGAGGGAATGGCAACCCACTCCAATAGCCTTGGCTGGAGAATTCCATGGACAGAGGAGCCAGTCTATGGGGTTGCAAAGAGTTGGACCAACTGAGCGACTATCACTGATTTTTTTCGTGTGTGTGTGTATATATACACACACAATGTGTCTTATTTCAATTTATCCCCCCTTCCCTTTTCCTCTTGGTAACCATAAGTTTGTTTTCTACATCTGTGAGTCTATTTCTGTTCTGTAAATAAGTTCATTTGTACCATTTTTCAGATTCCACACATAAGCGATATCCAGAGGAGCTTTTAAAAACAGAAATTGGGTCACATCTGCTCCTTTAAAGCCAGGTGGTTCTCCAGTGCACTCAAAGTAATTAACCCCACACCCAGCTCCTCCTCAGTGTCCTCTCCTTCCCTGTTTTAACATCCCAGTTGTAGCTTTTCCTCTTTAATTGGGGGCATTGAGATTCAGGCCTCCTGTATCCTCTGGTCTCCAAAGTAGCAAACGCACAGGCTCATTTAGTACAACGTGGTATAAAGACATCTCGTGTTAGCTTGTCTTTTCTTTCCGTTTTCTGTTGTTTTTTTTTTTGTCTGAGAGGCATGTGGAATCTTAGTTCCCTGACTCGGGATCGAACCCGTACCCCGTGCAGTGGAAGCTGCAAGTGCAGACTATTAACCACTGAACCACTGGGGAAGTCCGTAGTTTTTTTCATGGGATTTATCAGCTGACAAATTTCTGTTCACTTGTTATCTGTCCCTCCCTGGAGTCAGAGATGTGTGTCTGCCTCCACTGCTGGGTCCCTGGAACCTGTCACAATCCTGTATGTACACAGCAGGTCTTCTGTAAACCCAACAGAACGCTGCGTTTCTGCCCCCAGTGACGGTTCCCTGCTCCCGAGGTGTTCACGTGACAGACAGCTGAGGTCATCGCCTGACACCCTTTCCCTCCAGTCTGAGCTCTGCCAGGGCAGCCTTTGCTGTATCTACAGTCTCCCCAGCATGGTCCCAGGGCCAGCCAGGCACACAAGAGGTGCTGGTAGATGCTGATGTCTTTTTTTCCTCAGGCACACCCACTTCCTGCCTCCTGAGGACCCTTCGGATTGTAGGAAAACTGGACATGAGTGGTTGGCCACAGGATGTCCCCGCCCCTGAAGAATGGCCAGGTGGAGTCCTGAGGGCCCTGGATGTGGGCCTGGCTTCCCTGGACATCAAGATTCACAATAAAGACTGTATAAAGACTGTATACCAGGCTTGAGCCCTGCCTTCAGCACCTGAGGGGGTCCCGTTTCCCCACCTTAACCTAGTGGACCAAAGGGGTCCTGGGGCACCAGCCAAGCCAGGCCAACTGTTCACCAGGGTTAAGACAACCCCTCTTCTGTCCTCAACTCTGCCAACATCCGTTTCCTGGTTCCTGCTGCACAGATATGGAGCAGAGTTCTCTCTCCTTTTAACTCTAACATTTACCAAGTCTTCACTGAGTGTTTCCTTGAAGCTGTGGGGGCAGTAAATAACATACCTCCTTGCCTCCTGAGTTCAGAACCAGCTGGGTGATTGACATGGACATGAGGCAGTGTAGGTGACAATACTTGCTTTTGTATTGAAAACATCTGCATTGAAGGATGTGGCTTAGGGTTTGCCACCCTGGACTGCTTTTCTGTCATGGTTTCCATCCTTCCAGGGTCTAACCCTGGCTTCCTTGGCTCAGTGGTAAAGAATCCTCCTGCCAATGTAGGAGACACTGGTTCAATCCCTGGGTCAGGAAGATTCCTTGGAGAAGGAAATGGCAACCCACTCCAGTATCCTTGCCTGGAAAATCCCATGGACAGAGGAACCTGGTAGGCTACAGTCCGTGGGGTCTCAAAAGAGTCAAGACATGACTGAGCGATTAAAGCAATGACAACAAAGGGTCTAACAGAATGTGAATGCAGGTAGTGTCTGGGGGGCGTGATTCCAGAAACACCAGTGGGTAGTAGACAGGAAGGCAGCCGATAAAAGGTGGGTCATCAAGCCAGTTATTCCTGAGGCTCTGTCCCACCTGGGACTTCTGGGAGATAGCAAAGAACATCCCTCAGTTTCCCCTTCCCAGGGGCAAGGAAATTGGGGTGTATGTACACCAGCTTCCCATCTGACATTGAGGGATGTTTTCACAGGCATTGACTGCCTGGTATGTGGTCAGGTGCCCTCCCACCAGCAGAAGAACCCTGAGCAGAGGGCAGCAGGGAATGAAGTGAGCAGCCTTCAACACACAGGAGAGTGTGCTCAGGGGATGGGTAGGTGCCTGCTGTGGCTATTGCAGCTTCTCTGTGTTTGTTTTCAGGATCACAGGCTCCACAGGCATAGTTGGTTGATCCATCTTCCTGCAGAGGCAAGTCCTAAAGGGCAGAGGGTAGATGGGCAGGTGTGCAGGAGAGAGCGAGTCCAGAGCCTGCATCCAGCTTCACTATTTAGATAAGTTATTCCTCTTTTGAGGGGACTCATGTCACAGTGCTGACCAGATCCTAAAGCTTGCACTTTGGCTTGGAAAAATGAGCGGGGAGTCTCTCCAGGGGATTTGATTCCTGAAACAAAGGGTATTGTTAGTTGGATTAGGAGCCAGAGTGGAAGTCCTGTGCAGCCAAGGTTGACGACGTGAGACCCAGACAAGAAAACCCAGGTAGTGGAGAGTGGATTGTTCTCCCTTCCTGTGGTTCCTGAAAGGGTGGTGTGGGTCTCAGTGGCTTTCTGTTCTCAGCTTCAATTTCTCTGGGCTGTGGGTTGAGCCCTCAGATTTCTGTGTATGTTTTCAGCCTGGCCCTCTATTTGAGTAAGCTGCTGTGGGGTTCTCTCCAAGTGACTAAAAGAAGTGGTAAGAACAAACAACATGGAAGTGGAGACTTAGAATATCTTTAAGGGGCCTCTCTTATAACAGGCTTCCTTATAGTTGGGTCTCAGGGTTCCTGGAGAAGGAGTTGGCACCCCACTCCAGTATTCTTTCCTGGAAAGTCCCATGGATGGAGGAGTCTGGTGGGCTACAATCCACTGGGTTGGAAAGAATCGGAAACAACTAAGCAACTAACACTTTACTTTTACTCAGGGGTCCAAGAGAGCAGAAAAAAAAAGAAAGTTCCCGCCTTTACCACATTCTGTTGGTCAAAGTAAGTCATGAGGCCAACCCAGGTTAAAGGTGTAGGGAGAGGGAAGACTGCCTCTTGATGGCATTTGCCTGCAAAGAATTTTTGCCTATATTTGCCCACAAAAACTTAACAGTTTCTATTCCTGTGTCTGTTTGGGTAAAATATATTTTCTAGGAATTTTTCACATGATCTGAATTTTTTAATTGCTATTAATTTGTTTTTAATATCCTCATCTTTTTAAGGTCTAATCAAATCTGTAACAAATGGCCCCTTTTTCATTTCCGGTTTTTTTTTTTTCTTTTTTTTTTTTTTTGACTGTACTGCCAGCCTTGTGGGATCTTAGTTCCCACCTGGGCTCTGGGCAAGACTTTTTTTTTTTGATGTGGACCATTTTTAAAGTCTTTATTTGTTACAGTATTGCTTCTGTTTAGCCAGGAGGAATGTGGGATCTTAGCTCGAACCCAGTGTGGGTTGAACCCACATACCCTGCACTGGAAGGCAGAGTCTTAACCCCTGGACTACCAGGGATGTTCCCTTTCTCATTTCTGATGTTGGTTATTTGTGCCTTCCTCCTTTTTACCTTGGTCAGTCCTGACAGGAATTTATCTATTATAAATCTTTCCACAGAATCTACTCTTGGCTTTGTTGGTGCCCTCTTTCTATATTTGTTTTTAATTTAAATCTCTTCTTTATTATTAAATCCTTATTTTCTTGTATTTAATTTTGTTTTCTACTTCTTAAATGTTTGAAGTGAAGTGAAGTCATTCAGTCGTGTCCAACTCTTTGCGACCCCTTGGACTTGTAGCCCACCAGGCTCCTCCGGCCATGGGATTTTCCAGGCAAGAATACTGGAGTGGGTTGCTATTTCCTCCTTCAGGAGATCTTCCCGACCCAGGGATTGAACCCAGGTCTCCCACATTGTAGGCAGATGTTTTACCGTCTGAGCCACCAGGGAAGTCTTTAAATGTTTAGCTCACTGATTTTCAGCCTTTTCCTTTTTCTAATATGCACACTTAAATTTCCTCAAAGCATAGCTATTTCACTGATCTCAGATGACTTAGATGTTTAAAATTATGTTTTAAAATTTCTAAACATACAGAAATTTTTCTAGTCACCTTGTCTAATTGCAGTTGAGCTGGGAACACATTTTATATGATTTCAGTCTTTTGGAAAGATGTTGAGACTTGATGGCTTGGCATATGGTCTGTTTTTGTTATGTGCCATATGTGCTTGAATCATAATCTTGGGTTCATGATGCATTATCTTAGCTTGGATTCCCCCAGAAACAAACTTTGGAACAAAGATTTGGGAGATGATCCCAGAAAGCACTGGAAGGAGTATGGGAAATGAAACAGACGGGAACAAGGATTTGGGAGATGATCCCAGAAAGCACTGGAAGGAGTATGGGAAATGAAACAGACGGGAAAGCAGCTCATCAGAGGTGCATTAGCAAGGAAGTTAGCACCATGCATAACAGCTTCATCCTCTTGGAAATCTGGGAAGCGGTGGAAATAGGTTTCCCACTCAAGTGGTGAGGGTGTCTGTACACTGACCCCCACCGTTTATTTGACTGAGGGCTGCTTAAGGGGATGGGCTTTGTTTTTATTTTTATCTTAGTTTGACCTGCGGGATCTTAGTTAACCCAACCAGGGATGGAACCCATGGCCCATGCAGTGAAGTGTGTAGTCTTAACCACTGGGCCACTAGCAAAGTCCCAAAGGGTTGGGTTTTTAATTTCCTGCCACTTGCTGCTTTCCACACACTTGGTTGGGGTGAGCTCTGTAGAAAGTTCTCCAACAAAGAGCTGCTGTCTTGGCTGCTTCACCCACCGAGTTCTCTTCAGTGGGCTCCACCTTGTGACCATTCACTTCTGTGGCCACAGCTGCTACTGCTCCTGTCTGTCATGGCTGCCTCATCAGCAGCCACCGTTATCCTGACCACCTTTGCTGACTGTCACTACTGAGGCCGTCACCACATCACACTACAGCCACTGTCAGTGGGAGTATTGAGATAGTAAGAATGCCTTCAAAATGCTTGACTCAGTTCACAAGGAACAGCTATAGTCAACCCAGGAGGCCAATGAGAAGTGGTGGGCATGAAGCGGGTGAGCACTGGGAAGAGTGTGGGGAGGGGCAGGCAGCAATGTTGAGGGAATTTGTGTGGATGCTGAAGTGGTTGAGTGAGCTGACTATTCTGAGGAGGCAGAATTCCAGTCAAAGAAGTGTGAAGGTGATGAGGCAGGAGTATATGAACCAGGAAACAGCATCTTTAAGGGTCATTATTTTCACCTTTGATGGTTGAACTGAGCATTTTGTTCTTGTCACTGAACATACTGACTTAGTTGATAATCGTTCACTATGTGAATGATAATAAATAGTTCAGTCAGCATTTATCTTCAAAGGATAAATCCCTCATTTATACCATCAAAAACTTTCAGGCAGAATGTGTGCAAATAGAAGCCAGATCTCTAAAGAAATGGACAATCTTGAAAGAAAGCAAGCTAGCTTTTACCATAAAATGTGCTGCTTTTCAAAAAATTTCTGTTGCCATACCCTAGACCAGTTTAATCAGAATATCCTGGGGAAAGACCCAGACATTGATTATTTTTCTTTTTCTTTTTTTTTGGCTCGAGTCATGTGGGATCTTAGTTCCCCAACCAGGGATCAAACCCATACCCCAAGCATTGAAAGCCTGGGGTCTTAACCACTGGACTGCCAGGAAAGTCCCTAAATACCAATTTCAAAATTGATTTCAATATGCAACCAAGAACCATTGCTTTGGTGGAATTACTAATTTTTGATGGACATTTTTGGACACTAACTTGCTTGGAAATAAGGTTCTGAAAGTTTTTGACCCTATTCTGAAGCCCCTGATAAGACAAAATTTGCAGATTCTGGGAGCCTATGAGTGTCACAATATATATTTTTTAACTTTATTTTTGGCTGTGCTCGGTCTTCGTTGCTGTGTGGGCATTC